AAACTGGAAACTAAAAACTAAAACTTGGAACAGGCAGTCATGAGGGGAAACCAGAAACATGGAGAAACTCACAGCACATGGGTGTGGGAAGTGGAAAACACAGGGCGTAAATAGACCGAGAAGTAGCTGTCGGTGGCAGTGTCATGGTTGGTGGTCGACCACGTGGTCAACGGTACTTCACAGGGGCCCGGCAGAGGTGACGAACCTTCTCAGGGGCCTCACCCATCCAGCTCTGGTTTCTCTGGCCGGGGCTGCACAGGACTTGCAACAGGCTCCGGTGATGGGTGTCCCTCATGCTCAGGCTGCGAGGGACCGCCTGCCTTGACCTCTGCAGCAGGTGGTGGCATGAAGGCTGCAGGTGGCTGGACAGGCTCGGCTGATTCTCCAGCTGGCAAGGCTTTGATCAGTGGTTGTTCATCGATGGTCATGCCAATTTGCATATTAATGACCCATCGTTCATTCAGTGGGCTGGTTTATTAGATTGGGCAAACCTGCAGTCAGCTGAGACTGAAGAAGTCACCTGGATGAGTGATGAAACACTTCTCCCACTGAAAACGTCCAGATGAACAGAATCAACCTTTTGGGTAAACATACAACATAAATACACAAGAGGGTGATGAGGGAGGAGGAAGAAGAAACATATGAGGAACACAGCTGAGGCAAATACACATAATGGCAAGAGAGGAGGAAGCAAAACTGAGCACACTGAACATAGGATGTGACACTGTCAAACAAACAGGAAACACTAAGACACAGATTAAAAATACCAGTCAACATATACTGGTCAAATACACAGTTAGACACAGGCTGGGAGGAAGGAACAGGGGAAAGACAGAAAAACCCACCCGACCTGTTCCAGACCCTGACAGGATCCAGACCTCGACTTCTCCTTTGATCATGTACTGTAGTTAAGGTCTTCAAGTCCTCACAACCTTCTGAAATCACCTTGATGCAAACTCAAACACTCAAGTAAGGAAATCTCAGAAAGTCGATCCCATTTTAATCCCCAATGGATTAAAATCCCAGTCATTTCATATCAAATGAACAGAGCCCACTTTGTGTGATTTCCTTACCTGGATAATTGAGCATCAAGTGAAATTGTAAAAGTCCCCTGGATGAGTGAAAGATGTTTCTCCCACAGAAAATAAAACTTCCAGATGAACAGGATCAACTTCCTGGGATTCTGAAATTGTTCCAGAATTTGTAGATGGTGTTTTTTATAGATTGTTGAACCTACCCCCATCTTTACTTCTTTACTTCTCCAGTACGTGCCATGTTACTGACATGTTGCCAGTTAGCCTGTGACTAAAATATGGGTTTCTGAGATTAGATATAGCATTTTATTTTTATTTACATTTTACAGTGTGCGCTTGTGTGTTTGTGTGCGTGGATAAGTGTGTGTATAACGTCTGTATTTGGTATATATGTATTTTATTAAACTCAAGAAATGTTCATTATTGTTTTCCCCCACAGGTTATAGCATATGAAAATATGACAATACATACAATCTGAATACATATTCAGTGATGTCCGCTGATCCAGTGGTGTTTTTCCACCTTTCAGGTTGAAATTACTAGAGATTACTGCAGGTGTGGATGGTTTCATGGTATATGACCTAAATTTGGTTGAGCCCATGCAGAAAGTGAGCATATAAAGCTTTATATGCATATAAAGTTACAGTGATTGGCATATGTGAACGTGTGTGGTAATCCTTCATCTTTTCCAGCTCTTCAAGGTCCACACTGAAGGAGATAACCAGCTCGACCAGCTCCGAAATGACGTGACTGTATTTCCTGAAGACTTGCTATCCATGCCTTCAGTTAGTGGTTGCTCTTACTGCAGAACACACCTCAATAAACTTAGTAATATTACAGTTAGCATTACATTTAATTGATTGAAATACATCAGATTTTAGTGTGGGTAGGAAACCTTCATCAAACAGGAAGAGGGAGGCTTTCACATCTAGATGATGTTAGACATGAGTGAAAACATCCAGATGCATACGATATAGTTTTTTAATAATCTGTCCACAGAATAACCTCTTTGCCTCATTTATTTTACATGATGAATCAAACATTGTGTTCTTTTCCTAAAGATATTTAATTATAATTATATATAACATAAAAGTCAAATCAAAAATCTCTAAGGGAGATTTGCAAATGAGCTTGCATCTATTTCCCTGAGCTTGATAGTACGACGTGTAAGTGTAAAATAAAGTTTTGGTGTGCTGTATTCTTCGTAGGGAGGAGTCACGCTTAATGGTTTGAAGTGTAACATTGCAGTTGGTGTGCTCTTTATTAATGCTTGGCTATCAGGTTTGTACTTTTATATTATCCATGGAAAAATGCTTATATGCACTAAATGCTATATACCTGTATGTGTTGGCTGTTGATACCATTTTGTGCTTCTAAGGTAAAGGCCACTTCTTCTACAGAGGCCAGGTTGAAGATTCTGCCACAGCAGAAATTTCTAGATCGCAGGTGAGTTTTCAAAGCGAGCGCCACAGAGCATATGTTGCTGAGATTCATGCAGAGCTTGATCTACACCCACAAGTAATTAGTATTTAGGATATATTTAAATGTTTTTGACAATGTTGTTTGGGAAACAAGCACATTTCTTTTTTAAATTTGCTCTAATAGATACATATTTAACACAGTGACTAAGATGCACCCTGTAATTTGTTTGTTTGTTTGTTTGTTTTTGTTTTTCATTCAGTGTCATGTGGCGTGCTTCTTTCTCCTTTTGGCTGCATTTCTTTTAAAGTATCACTGAATAGGTTTTGCTTGTGGGTTAATTACTTCATGTACAGTCAGTGTTGGGAAGGTTACTTTTAAAAAAGTAGTTTGTAACATATTCCATGAAGTTACTTAATGTGAGTAACGTATTCTGAATACTTTGGATTACTTGATATATTGTCATGCCTTTTACAACTACATGAATGTACTATTGCTGTGATTTATTACTATTACTGAAGGCTACCTGCAACCAAGCTAACATTGTTAGCTGAGGTTAGTTCATCGACTGCAGACTGTTAGACTTGATGGAGTAACAGTAGGTGGACATTAGGTAAGGCTGCACTTTTTGCAGTTTCTGTATCAGTAATATGTTTTCTTTCTGTCTGCTTTCAGAACTGCACATGATTATTTGCAGCTAGCAGGTTGTAATGCAGCGTTCATTAATAGTAATAAATCACACAGCAGTAGTACATCCAAGATAAGAAGTGGCACATAACCCAGGTAGTTACCACAAGTAAAACAAGCTAGCTGCAGTAGGCTAATGTTAGTTTTTCTTTAAAAAGAACGTACTTCCAGATGTTTCTTCAGGTTGGAGTCTTTTGAAGCTGAGAGCAGTTTGGTTGCTGGCAAACAGAGTTTGCATTGCACGGTCAGATTTCATCCGTTTCTTCTTTAAATGTGAAGTGTGTCGGAATTTCCGAGTAAGAAATGCCTTCCTGCCCGTGCACTGCTGGCTCTGTTGTGCTGTGCTGGACATTGTTCTGGTGTTCCCCAGGGTTCTGTACTGGGCCCCAAACTATTTCTTATTTATAAAAATACATTTGTAGAGTATCTGATATATTAAAACTGGTTTTATTTTCAGATGACACAAATAGTTTTGTTCTGGGGCAATCTAATGGAACTGCTGGGTATATTTTGACAGGAACAAACTATGTAAAACCAAAATGATGTTATTTGTAAATCCTCAGATGAAGTCAAAGTGCAGATTGATCTAGATTGTGTGGAAACTGAAAGAGTTCATGAACATGAGGTTCTTGGTATAATACTGGATTACAAAATAAGCTGGAAATCTCATATAAAACGTGTACAGAACAAAGTTTCAAGAAGCTTTTCAATATTGAGTAAAGCAAAACACATTCTGGACCACAAATCACTCCACAGTCTTCACCGTTCACTGATTTCACCGTATTTGAATTACTGTGCACTCAGCTCTGGGTGGACGTTTTTCTCAAATTTCAGCCTGTAAGATTCTGGCGCTCATTCGTTGTTTTAAAGAGCAAATGATCTTTGGCCAGTTTTTAGAAGGGCTGATTGAGAGGTGGAAAGACTGTCACATACAGCTGCTCCATCTTCATCTCTTACACATGAATGCCTTTGACCTCAAACTGCTCCTGTTGACTCCACCTCCTTTATGCACACAGCTGTGGCTCCACTGTAGATGTACCTGTTTGAGGACAGAGATTTAGGCAGTGGGGCAAGATTACCAGCAACAGCACCCAGTTGAACTCCCTCTACAGGAGCTTGCTTACCAAACAACACCTTTCATCCAGCTTTGTGCACAGAGCTCCTTCAGCTATTTTTTTTCTTGACATTTAAGGATACGGGCACATGAAGTTTGTTAAGTGTGTAAGATTATCTTCCTATCAAACTTAAACTCCATCTACTCTAGTGTCCCCGGGGCTAGGGGTGACCTAGTCCTACTATGAAATGTAACTCCCCACTCTCAAATAAAGGACAGCAATGCAGAAAAACTGCCAGACAGCAGTGTATTTGCTTCAGAGGTGAGCAATGCCAACACAACAAAGACTTGAATAACAAATCTTCAAGGTCCATCAGCAATAACCAAGAAAACCAACTTCTCACTGCTACTAATCTGCTCCCAGCTGTTCTGTATGTTCTGTGGATACTCTTAAACATTATTTAACTGCTGCCTCTGTGTTGGTGCAGAGATGCAAAGTGGCTGTCAGCTGGAGGTTAACAGACCGCAGTCCATCCAATCATGCAATCCACATCAACTTCCACCCAATAGAAGTGGAAGCTAATCCGCAGTCTCCACCTGTGTCACAGCATACACATAGACATGCACTCGTTCACACCATGGAAGAGGGGAAACTGCGTGCACCTGCACACACTCTGTCAGTGCGCCCCAGGGCAGCTGTGGCTACAATGTAGCTGCCATCACCAGTGTGTGAATGGGTGGATGACTGAATGTAGTGTGAAGCGCTTTGGGGTCCTTAGGGACTAAGTAAAGCGCTATATAAATACAGGCCATTTACCATTTAATGGGAGGAGCCAACTTAACATGAGCCGTGATCATAGATCATAAGAACATGTTTTGTTTTGTGTGTTTGTCAGGTGTGGCAGTGGGTCCGTCATCAGACCCGTCTGGAGGACGATGGCAGGGTGGTGAGCAGGCAGCTGGTGACTGACCTCACCAAGGAGCTCATCATGGACCTCAGTCCCCACTGTGGCTCTGTTAGGTAAGCAAATGCACCCTCTTTGAAGAGGATGTGGTAGGTGAGTGGTTCCAGTGACATCCTTCATTGAAGAATATAATATATATGTTCAATGCCTTCTTAATGTAAATAATAATTGATTTTTAATTGACTGATGAATCCTGTGTCCCAGGATATTTGCACCAACTGTTTTGATTAAATGAGAGTTTTCACCATAATCTCAGCGTGGAAAAGATTTGTCAAATTATGCTACTAATGCTTTTAAATATCACAGAAAATGTGGAAAAAATGGAAATGTGACAGTTTGACAGATTCAAGAGTGTTGGTCAGGGCTGTGCAGAGATGTTTGAAGGGAGGGGGGTGCTCAAAGTTAACAGGGGCACATAGAACCAGGCTGAATAGTCGTCTTGCTAGCTTGCGCTGCGCTCAGTGGATCTGCGCTCGACAGTGCAGCCTAGGCGGAGTAGTCGAACGCAGATCCACTGAGCTCTCAACACAGACAGCATCGTCAGAAGAAAAGTTGATAAAATAAATTTAAAAATTTGTATTGTTCGATACACATGCGTACCGAACCGAAAGCACTGTATCGAACGGTTCAATACCGATACATGGAGTTGTGGGGAACTCCAGGCCTCGAGGGCTGGTGTCCTGCAGGTTTTAGATGTGTCCTTGATCCAACACAGCTGATTTAAATGGTTAAATGACCTCCTCAACATGTCTCGAAGTTCTCCAGAGGCCTGGTAATGAACTAATCATGTGATTCAGGTGTGTTGACCCAGGGTGAGATCGAAAACCTGCAGGTTTTGGTTTTCCTAAACATGCATGTTATAGCATATGACGATGTTTTCTTTTTCTTTTCTCGCTCTGATAAAATAGGGCGGCAGAGCAGGTCACCTAGCAGGTTGGTGGTTCGTTCCCCATCTGCATGCCAAATATTCTTGCACAAGACAGTAACACCAAGTTGCTCTCCGATGCATCCACCAGAATATGGATGTGTGTGAATTTCAGACAGAAAACACTAATACAAGTGCATTGAAAATGTCTGAATCTGTGAATGGGTGTTTGATGCAAGTTGTGTGCTCAGAGCAGCAAAGCACTATATAAAAACCAACCCATTTACCATTTATCGTTGCAAGATAGCTGCAATATTTCTGCCAGAGGGCAGTCTGAATAAATATTTTCAGGATTTTCTCTTTCTTTTTCAGACAGAGGTTACACACAGCAGCAAAAATGTTCCAGGAGGTGATCGCAAAGAGACATTTTCCAGACTTCATCACTACCTACCTGAACCAGGACCACACCTTCCTCAGCTCCCAGAACGCTGAACCCATGCAAGCTCTGGACAAAGACCTGAGGCGATCAAAACTGTGAAGCTGTGGCACTATAAACCTCTGTGTGTGCTGGTGTGTTGGTGTGTTGGGGGCATAGATACATCTGACAGCTCAGATATTTAAACCCTACCTGGGACTGTCCTTTAATGGGTCACTGAACCACTATTACCAGATGTTTCAGGTCAATTATGAGCTATTGAGGTCATCAGATGCAAGATGTGAGTGAGGCACCTGGGAAGGGATCTCAGGACTGTAGTGTAGGTGGCAGATGGTGTTATAAGCTCTGTTTAAAGATGGCCGTTCATTAGGTTATCTAAGTTCTCTGTTTATTAGATTCCCCTTGTGTTTTCAACCCCTGTGTTAAGCCTCCTTTGTCCTTTATGTGTTTCATGTCTGCATGTCTTGTGTTGTCAAGTTCATGTTGTCGTGTCTGCGTCTCATTATGTTTCCTGTTTTATTTTGAAGAGGTCCTGTGTTCCTGTGTTCAATGTGTTTAGTTTTACGTTTCTCCTGTAACGTCGGTATGTGCATGTGTGTCAGCTGTTTCCTCATGTGTTCCCACTTCCCTCATTATCTTCCTGTGTGTATTTAGTCCGTGTGCTTTCAGTCTTTCCTTGTCTGATCGTCTGCAGTTTTTCCAGGCCATTCATGCTTTCAGGCTTCCACATTGCAATGTTTAGAGTTTTTCTCGTCTGTTTTTCTATTCACCGAGGTTCTTCATGGTTCATGTTTCCTTTCTAGTTTACCCAGTTTAGGACATTGTTTAGTTTTGCATTGTGTTCACCATTTTATTTGTGTACCTTTTTCTGCCTCAATAAAAAGCTCATCTTCAGTTAAAGTTGAGTTGTAGTGTGACCTCACCTGGGTCCACTCTTCACACTTCACAGTTTGCCCGGCAGACTGGACAAAGGAGGATTCCTCCTTCAATCCATTGGTCTTCTTGGTCCAAAATGCAGAGAGTACAACTCTGTACCTAAACAATAAAGGACATTCTTGGGTGTCAATGTTCACATTTGGACTGACTGTAATTTGTTATTATCAGCACATCCTAAAAACCTTTGTTAGGGTGCCTGGATCGTTGACTCAGTGTTTTGTGTTGATGGATTTTTGAGTCTTGTTTAATCGTTATTGTTATGTTATCTAGTTGAGTTGATCTGTATTTCTAGTTGAGGTTATTAGCTCTCATCTCTGTGTCCTTCCCTCAGTGCTCCCCTGTGAAGTCTGTCGCCCTCTCTCTCCTCCCTCTGTTCCTGTCTGTAGTCTTTTCTCCCAGTATCACACCAGTATGACTCCCAAAGTACGACTCAGTAAACAAACAAGGA